ATTCATATTGTGTTTGAGGCATCAAATGAACGAAATCGGTCGAAAATATATATGGGAGCTATATCTAAATCTGAACCGATTACAATATAATTTGGCAAACTTATTTTTGTTCCAAATTCCGTTACGTATTCCAAATTTGGAGACTGTATCTTCAACCAATCAATAGATATGTGCATATAAAATCTAAATTTTTGGGAGGTACCTCCGATTCTGATGCTATATCTCCAGTTCCAAGTGGAAATTCAAAAATGTGTATAGCCTATGTTACTTTCAGGCGATGTTGCAGTAAATATGGAAATTTTCAGGAAAATCTATTCAGCGGTTTTCGAGTCCATAAATTACAAACAAACAAACAAACAAACAAACAAACATACAAACATTTTCCTCTTTTATAGATATAGAAGATTATTTATATTTTTTTATTTACACCTATCAGTGAAAAAAATTGTCCAATGGCAAATTTGAGATTACTTTAAACAATAAATACTTTTTGATTTTAATGATTATTTACATAATTGTGAATTATACTTAATAAACCACTCAGTAGCCATCACAGCCAATGCAACTTTATGGACTCTCGGCACGGTTAAATCCACAAAATAGCTTACATTGCATCTGGTGCCAATATCGACTCCATATCGAAAGATCTCTTATAGGTAGTAGTATGTTTGTCTATAATTTTTGCTATAGTTTCTTCAAACAAATAGCTGTTTTCAAGCTTCATTTCATTGAGTTTTAAACTGGAGTTCAGGCATAAATCTTCACACTTAAGTTAAGTCAAAAAATACAGTTTTCTATTTTCTCCAAAGGTCACCATGTTGTAATATGTTGACGAATATAACCTACTGGCATTTCCATCAGTTGACCCGGTAACATTTAAAGTACCATCAGAGTTGTATTTTTTGTACAAGGAATCGAAAATGCGTCCATCCTTTGGTTTGGAAATAGTTTTCCCAATTTGAGAGAAACTCATGCCATTTAAGTGGGTATAAGGTCTGTCAATTTCCATGTGTTTACGCAATTTGTTCTGCGCTTTCCGTCGTCAAAAATCACCATTACAAAAGTCCTCCATATTGGCAGAATGTATAGTCCAATAATGGCCTTTTCCATTCGAACTCCTATCGGCCTTAACAAAACAATCGTTTAAAGATAAATTATGACGAACTGAATTCCTCCATCCAGGACCGCGCTTTCGGAAGTATGGGTATCTATCTGTTATAAAATTATAAATATCCGAGAGAAGAAGTTTTTTTGTTTTGCTATTCAAAATAGATGTGGCAATTAGGCCAATATAACTAAGCTGCGGTTTTAAATCGCTAAATTCTTGTTTAGATTCTGGTAACTGCTGTCTGCTGTCTGTGGTATCTGAGTGTCGATTCAATAAATGTTTTGAATTAATAATAGAATTAGGCACATAATTGTTGGAGGTGGATCCCGTCGTGGCAGATGTTATAACACTCGTATTGAATATTTCGGATATAAAAAACGAACGGGGGAATATCGAGATAGTCTGCATGCCCAATTTTGCTTCCTTTGTGTGCTTCACGCACACACATATCTAACAAAATAAGATCTGTAATGTTTCATACTAAATTGTAATATTTAACAAGTAAAAAAGTTGAAAGTTCGGCCGGCCGAACTTTGAATACCATCCACCATTTAGTACAAATTTGGCAATTTTCAAATAAAATAAAATACTTTAAAAACTCTGTTAAAATCTTAAAAATACCGAATGTAGCCGTAAATAAGGGTCTATACGACGACGTGGACCTACATAGGCAACTTTTGTCATAAGCTATTACAATATTTAAATTTAAAATAAATTTTAAAAGAAAAATTGTTTATAATGTAGCTAAAATAAATAAAATACCGAATATAGGGAGGTAAAATACGTGGACCTGTACAGACAATTTTCTGGCATAGGCTGTAGTATTTATTACGAACTTCAAATACCAAATTTGAAACAATTCCGGTAAATAATGTCGCTAAACTCATCAAAATACCAAATATCGAGGGTACGGTTATATGGGGGCTATAGGAAGACGTGGACCTACATCTCCCATTTTCAATACCAAAAGTCCTGCAAACATAATACACATTTGAGTAAATTGTTATCAACTTACTTCATTTCGTTTGGATGCTAGAGTGATTTCCACAGACGGATAGATAGACAGAAAGAAGGACATTGATAAATCGACATAGAATTTTATGATGATCAAGAATATATATATTTTGTGGGGTCTAAAATGTATATTTCGAGGTGTTACAAGTACTCTAAACAGTAAGCATGGGATATAACAATATCTATATAAATCCTGATCTTAATTTAGTCGGTATTTGTAGCAAATATAACACCATTGTAGGATGCAAGTTAAGTTCACAAATGGTGCGTGTCGGTCAATGTTTTGACACCCATGCAAGAGTACCTCACGATATTCGATTTATTTAAAATTTGTAAAGGTCTTAAATCCTGTGACAGAACCTTGTCTATATAGGTCCACGCTTTCCTATAACATGTTTGAGTATTTCCTGATATTCTGACAATTTTAGCGAAATTTTTTAGAGGAAACGTTTGAAATTAGTTTCGTTCACTTTTAATGGATTATGTCTTCTGAGAAAGATGACTGCATCAATAAGCTGTTATCTTCATATCATATCTGTTATCATTCATAAGGCGGCGAAACGAAATTGTTTTATGTACTAAAAGTCTGGTAGGGACGAAATATTAGTGAAGAAGGTGATGAAAATAAAAAAATGCGAATACTTTGAATTTTAATGAAGGTAAGGTAAAATTATGATTATCGAAGAGATGAGTGGAGATAGGATAGATTATAGGAGATTCTAAGGAAGCATGAACGGGTAGAGTAGCAGACTGCACAGACTGGATGTAATTGATCGAAAGCAACCCTGATAGTGCAGCTATATTTTATTGTAACACTGCGTGGATTGTTAATATCTTCGAAAGATAAACTGATTTGAGAAGCAACAACAAATTTTAAAAATAGAGAATTGCCAATATGTACCATTTTTCGAATTGTTGTTGCAAAAACCCATTATTACTGTTTTTATAAAAACATTGTTTGTTTATTAGTAGAGAACGATGGCAATGTTTACAAGGAGGTAAGGCAGGGAATACCTAGTTTTCGTAGCCACCAATCCTCATCAGTTCTTTTGTTTTTTTTTTTTTTCTTAAATATATTAATTAATATGTTCAACTCCTCTTTTGAACAATTATGATTGTCAATTTTACAGTAAACAAGTTGGGTAAAAAAACATTTTTATATAAAAGTATCTAAATTCAAACCTGTTTTACATTAACGACAAAAACCGGTAAGACCGTTGGGATACTGCTGTTAAACTTAAAAAAACCATAAGGTGGGTGCAGACGTTATGTGGGGTCTATACCAAAACGGTAACACATATATACAGCTTCATACTTCAACGATTTTTATCTACCAAATCTTCTAAAATACAAAATACAGAATATCGGTATGTACTTTTATATGTGTGCATAGAAAAAAGTGGACCTATACATACAATGTCAGGCCAACGGAGTTAGAACCCATTACGAACTACAAATGCCAATTTTGGGACAAATCCGTAAAAACAAAAAATATCAAATATCAACGTATCAACGAGGTAAGGCAGGGAGTACCTAGTTTTCGGAGCCACCGATCCTCATCAGTTCTTTTGTTTTTTTTTTTCTTAAATATATTAATTAATTTGTTCAACTCCTCTTTTGAACAATTATGATTGTCAATTTTACAGTAAACAAGTTGGGTAAAAAAACATTTTTATATAAAAGTATCTAAATTCAAACCTGTTTTACGTTAACGACAAAAACCGGTAAGACCGTTGGGATACTGCTGTTAAACTTAAAAAAACCATAAGGTGGGTGCAGACGTTATGTGGGGTCTATACCAAAACGGTAACACATATATACAGCTTCATACTTCAACGATTTGTATCTACCAAATCTTCTTAAATACAAAATACAGAATATCGGTATGTACCTTTATATGTGTGCATAGAAAAAAGTGGACCTATACATACAATGTCAGGCCAACGGAGTTAGAACCCATTACGAACTACAAATGCCAATTTTGGGACAAATCCGTAAAAACAAAAAATATCAAATATCAACGTACCGTTATATGGGAGATATACGGAAAGTTGGACCTGTATGTACACTTTTCCGCCACAGGAGCTGAACCCATTAAGAACTATAAATACTATTTTTTAGCCAAATGCATGAAAGAGGTGGCGAAAATCGTCAAAATGACAGCTATATCAAAACGTAGACCGATATATATCGTATTCAATAACAATCATCTTAGACATAATACAAATTCTTGTGCCAAATTAGCTCTACGTCAAATAATGTGGGCAGCATCGCAACCACGACAGACAGACGATGATTATGAATATATATATATATATATATATATATATCTATATATATATATATATATATATATATATATATATATATACATATATATATATATATATATATATATATATATATATATATATATATATATATATATATATATATATATATATATATATATATATATATATATAATATAATATATATATATATATATATATATATATAGTATATATATATATATATATCGCAGCATCGCAACCACGACAGACAGACGATGATTATGAATATATATATATATATATATATATATATATATATACATATATATATATATATATATATATATATATATATACATATATATATATATATATATATATATATATATATATATATATATATATATATATATATATATATATATATATATATATATATATATAATATATATATATATATATGAATATATATATATATATATATGTATATATATATATATATATATATATATATATATATATATATATATATATATATATATATTTACACCAATCAGTGAAGAAAATTGTCCAATGGCAAATTTGAGATTACTTTAAACAATAAATACTTTTTGATTTTAATGATTATTTACATAATTGTGAATTATACTTAATAAACCACTCAGTAGCCATCAAAGCCAATGCAACTTTATGGACTCTCGGCACGGTTAAATCGTCAAAATAGCTTACATTGCGTCTGGTGCCAATATCGACTCCATATCGAAAGATCTCTTATAGGTAGTAGTATGTTTGTCTATAGTTTTTGCTATAGTTTCTTCAAACAAATAGCTGTTTTCAAGCTTCATTTCATTGAGTTTTAAACTGGAGTTCAGGCATAAATCTTCACACTTAAGTTTAGTCAAAAAATACAGTTTTCTATTTTCTCCAAAGTTCACCATGTTGTAATATTTTGACGAATATAACCTACTGGCATTTCCATCAGTTGACCCGGTAACATTTAAAGTACCATCAGAGTTGTATTTTTTGTACAAGGAATCGAAAATGCGTCCATCCTTTGGTTTGGAAATAGTTTTCCCAACTTGAGAGAAACTCATGCCATTTAAGTGGGTATAAGGTCTGTCAATTTCCATGTGTTTACGCACTTTGTTCTGCGCTTTCCGTCGTCAAAAATCACCATTACAAAAGTCCTCCATATTGGCAGAATGTATAGTCCAATAATGGCCTTTTCCATTCGAACTCCTATCGGCCTTAACAAAACAATCGTTTAAAGATAAATTATGACGAACTGAATTCCTCCATCCAGGACCGCGCTTTCGGAAGTATGGGTATCTATCTGTTATAAAATTATAAATATCCGAGAGAAGAAGTTTTTTTGTTTTGCTATTTAAAATAGATGTGGCAATTAGGCCAATATAACTAAGCTGCGGTTTTAAATCGCTAAATTCTTGTTTAGATTCTGGTAACTGCTGTCTGCTGTCTGTGGTATCTGAGTGTCGATTCAATAAATGGTTTGAATTAATAATAGAATTAGGCACATCATTTTTGGAGGTGGATCCCGTCGTGGCAGATGTTATAACACCCGTATTGAATATTTCGGATATAAAAAACGAACGGGGGAATATCGAGATAGTCTGCATGCCCAATTTTGCTTCCATATGTTTGCATTTTGGTATTATGCTTTCGCCTAATATAAAATATATACATTTCACCAGTATTCATACGATAAGATCACGCACACACATATCTAACAAAATAAGATCTGTAATGTTTCATACCTAATTGTAATATTTAACAAGTAAAAAAGTTGAAAGTTCGGCCGGCCGAACTTTGAATACCATCCACCATTTAGTACAAATTTGGCAATTTTCAAATAAAATAAAATACTTTAAAAACTCTGTTAAAATCTTAAAAATACCGAATGTAGCCGTAAATAAGGGTCTATACGACGACGTGGACCTACATAGGCAACTTTTGTCATAAGCTATTACAATATTTAAATTTAAAATAAATTTTAAAAGAAAAATTGTTTATAATGTAGCTAAAATAAATAAAATACCGAATATAGGGAGGTAAAATACGTGGACCTGCACAGACAATTTTCTGGCATAGGCTGTAGTATTTATTACGAACTTCAAATACCAAATTTGAAACAATTCCGGTAAATAATGTCGCTAAACTCATCAAAATACCGAATATCGAGGGGTACGGTTATATGGGGGCTATAGGAAGACGTGGACCTACATATCCCATTTTCAATACCAAAAGTCCTGCAAACATAATACACATTTGAGTAAATTGTTATCAACTTACTTCATTTCGTTTGGATGCTAGAGTGATTTCCACAGACGGATAGATAGACAGAAAGAAGGACATTGATAAATCGACATAGAATTTTATGATGATCAAGAATATATATATTTTGTGGGGTCTAAAATGTATATTTCGAGGTGTTACTAACGGAATGACAAACTTAATATACCCTCCATACTATGGTTGAGGGTATAAAAATAAATACAATATATATATTTATGTCTGGATTTGGGGAACAACAGATTTTTACAAGTACTCTAAACAGTAAGCATGGGATATAACAATATCTATATAAATCCTGATCTTAATTTAGTCGTTATTTGTAGCAAATATAACACCATTGTAGGATGCAAGTTAAGTTCACAAATGGTGCGTGTCGGTCAACGTTTTGGCACCCATGCAAGAGTACCTCACGATATTCGATTTATTTAAAATTTGTAAAGGTCTTCAATCCTGTGACAGAACCTTGTCTATATAGGTCCACGCTTTCCTATAACATATTTGAGTATTTCCTGATATTCTGACAATTTTAGCGAAATTTTTTAGAGGAAACGTTTGAAATTAGTTTCGTTCACTTTTAATGGATTATGTCTTCTGAGAAAGATGACTGCATCAATAAGCTGTTATCTTCATATCATATCTGTTATCATTCATAAGGCGGCGAAACGAAATTGTTTTATGTACTAAAAGTCTGGTAGGGACGAAATATTAGTGAAGAAGGTGATGAAAATAAAAAAATGCGAATACTTTGAATTTTAATGAAGGTAAGGTAAAATTATGATTATCGAAGAGATGAGTGGAGATAGGAGAGATTATAGGAGATTCTAAGGAAGCATGAACGGGTAGAGTAGCAGACTGCACAGACTGGATGTAATTGATCGAAAGCAACCCTGATAGTGCAGCTATATTTTATTGTAACACTGCGTGGATTGTTAATATCTTCGAAAGATAAACTGATTTGAGAAGCAACAACAAATTTTAAAAATAGAGAATTGCCAATATGTACCATTTTTCGAATTGTTGTTGCAAAACCCCATTATTACTGTTTTTATAAAAACATTGTTTGTTTATTAGTAGAGAACGATGGCAATGTTTACAAGGAGCTAAGGCAGGGAATACCTAGTTTTCGGAGCCACCAATCCTCATCAGTTCTTTTGTTTTTTTTTTTCTTAAATATATTAATTAATTTGTTCAACTTCTCTTTTGAACAATTATGATTGTCAATTTTACAGTAAACAAGTTGGGTAAAAAAACATTTTTATATAAAAGTATCTAAATTCAAACCTGTTTTACATTAACGACAAAAACCGGTAAGACCGTTGGGATACTGCTGTTAAACTTAAAAAAACCATAAGGTGGGTGCAGACGTTATGTGGGGTCTATACCAAAACGGTAACACATATATACAGCTTCATACTTCAACGATTTTTATCTACCAAATCTTCTAAAATACAGAATATCGGTATGTACTTTTATATGTGTGCATAGAAAAAAGTGGACCTATACATACAATGTCAGGCCAACGGAGTTAGAACCCATTACGAACTACAAATGCCAATTTTGGGACAAATCCGTAAAAACAAAAAATATCAAATATCAACGTACCGTTATATGGGAGATATACGGAAAGTTGGACCTGTATGTACACTTTTCCGCCACAGGAGCTGAACCCATTAAGAACTATAAATACTATTTTTTAGCCAAATGCATGAAAGAGGTGGCGAAAATCGTCAAAATGACGGCTATATCAAAACGTAGATCGATATATATCGTATTCAATAACAATCATCTTAGACATAATACAAATTCTTGTGCCAAATTAGCTCTACGTCAAATAATGTGGGCAGCATCGCAACCACGACAGACAGACGATGATTATGAACATTTATACTTTATGGGCTCTACGACGAACATTTAGGGATGGGTATTTTCAAGGCAGAAGGTAGCAAAACGTGAGCACATAATTTTCACAAGAGATTCATAGCGAAATTTTGTTTACATTACTTTCTGAATTCAAAAATCCTCAAAAAACCTTTTGCACTGGTAATGAAACCTTTTACAGCGAAAATGAAACCTTGTGCAACCGAAATGAAACCATTTGCAAACGAAATGAAATTTTTTGCAAATCAAAGGAAACTTTTAGATTTATAGAAGGAAAAATAACAAAACATTTTTATATTTAGTAGGTTTAAAATTAAGTCAATTAATTACCGATGACCGTTCGAAAACTTCTTAGCCAATTACAAAAAGCGCGGTAAAAAAATGTTTAGTGATTTGAAAACTTCCATTCCAAGAAACTCATAATAATAAGCTGAATGTGTTATGTGAAAGTGGTCCTTCATGAATTTAATCGTTGTCGTACAATCATTGAAGTTGAAACGGCAACAACAACAGAATTAGTAGCTAAAGTGCATGACATGGCATTAAATGATCGGCGAATAATTATGCGTGAAATTGCTAATATCAATGCCATCTTAAATGATCGAATCCATTTCATTTTGCATGAAGAACTACAGATGAAAAGGCTTTTTGCAAGATGGGTGCAGCATTTACTAACAGTCAATCAAAAACACATAAGAATGCGTCGTTTCATAACTGTTGATAAGACATGGATCCACCACTATACTCCAGAAACAGAGCAAAAACAATCAAAACAATGGACTGAAGCTGAAGGAAGTGCCCCCAAATAAGGCAAAAACAATTCAATCCGCTGGTAAGTTTATGGCAACGGTTTTTTGGAACTTCAAAGGTATTTTATTGATTGACTATCTTCGAAAGGGTAAAGCAATAAATTCAGAGTACTATTGCAACCTTTGGATCAATTAAATGTAGAAATTCATCAAGACAACGTACCAGCGCACAAGATTGTTTTAACAATGGCTAAAATCAACGAATTAAAGTGCGAATTGCTTGACCACCCACCTTTCTCCTGATTTAGCTCCTACTGACTTTTACTTCTTCCAAATCGAAAAATCCTTGTTGGGAAGCGTTTTACGTCAGTGAAAGATACAATTGTGAACCACTATTTTGAAGACCTTGAGGAAAACTTGATTAAAATAATCAAAAGATAGAATTGCTAGAAAAGCGTTGGACTAAGATTATTTTCTTTTTTCATTTATTATATTCAATATTTCGATTTTCATCGACAATCATCTTCATCAATAAAAATATTGTTGAAAAACGCATGTATAGTGGAATAAATTTTACAGATAGTCCCATATGACCCTATATTACTAAATTCCCAATCTATAGGAGATTCGTTCTATTCAAAAGTGGAAAAAATCATTTGACTAAAATAGTTTCCGTTAAATACTGAGTACTCCGTCGACAAATGTTGAAATCACCTACTATAATAGTTATGTCGTTATTTTGTAGCAACAATTTTTCTATGGTTTGAGAAAAATTTGACGAAAGGAAGGCTCTACAAATTTGAATTTGAATTTTTTATACACTATCATCAGACACATACCTTTGTATTTAAAAACTAGGTACTGCAAAGTCTTACATCCTTCGGAAAAATCTCTTTTCATAAGAACGCTGGTACCATTAGATCGGCTTATTGTTATGATACCTCTCTGATACCAATGATCTGATACCACAGTCAATTCTGCCAATTTCATAAAATCCCATTAGGTTGCAGCTTTTCTTTGGAAAGCACCATTTTTCCACAAAAAAATAAAGTAAAACTAGAATTCTTAATAGTATAGTCTGTACAAATATCTTCTCTATGAGCGAGAAAACTTTGATTATTTGGAAAATATTTTGAAATTTCTCTCTCAACCAAATCGAGAAACTCGAAAGGAAGATTTAATTGTATGGTGTTCTTTAATTTATCTTGCTCTATTCTGGGTCGGAATGCAGAAACGATGTCGGTGGAATAAACAGTCATACTATGTATAGGCCAGATACATTTGTTGCTCGAATACCTACTCATCCTACTTTGTATATACACGGCAACCTTTGCTTATGTGGCACCTTGATTGAATTTGATTAAATTGAAATTATCTTCTACACTTCTCAACTTGTGCCAAAAGCTGTTCTGAACGACAAGGCTTCCAACGCCGTGCTTCTCTTCCAACAGTTTCATCTGTAAACAAGAACCAAAAACTTTTTGGGTTGGATTATTCCCGTTCAAATACTACCTCCTTTAGAACTACACTAGCATCATTGACTAAGCCGTCCGCTGTGTTAATGTTAATTGTCATCACATACGTTGCTGTTTGCTTTAATGTAAGCTCCAGGCATAGTCCTTGACTCCCTGAAGTTTTCAATTTTGTAAATTGGTATAAGATGTTTACCGTTTGCGCATTATTTAATGAATCACATTTAACAACGTCGCGCGTTCTTGATGCGAATGCCTCAGTAAGC